CTGCTGTAGCCAGCGGACGTTTTCCTTGGGGCAGGAGGGGAAGATGGTCCCTGCCAGCATCTGACCAGGTACGCTTTGGAAGTGACGCCCGATCAGAGGAGGAGGTAAGGTGGGGCTGAGCAGTCGCACCTTCGCTGGGCTGGCTGGCTGCATCTCGTTTTGGGTCGAGATCTTCCGCAGGAAAACACGACCCGTAGTCTGCCCAAAATGCCTGTTGACTCCAGCAGGACTTTCGCCTGGCTGTGGACTGCTGTGAACAGTGGCAGGGGTTTAATTAAGAACGCTTGCCAGTTCCACACCGTCCATGCAGTGGTTGGACTGTGCTGAAGGCAGGAGTAATTACTGCAAACAGAGATCAAGCGTGATTGTGCCTTCTGAGCAGACATGGCTGAGAATTGCATTAAATGTGTTTATAAAGCCCTGGGTTGCTCCGTAGTTAACACTTTTGGGGTTTTTTTTCTTGCATCCTTGAGTCCAGGAAGCTCTTGCCTGTGTTGCTAACACAGTTTCTACAGCAGAATGGACAAATCTTATAAGGAATCCTTATCCTTAAACCACATGTAAAGAGATCGTTTGTTCTCTCTTCTGGTGCACCATCAACACTATGGGGTTAGCAGAATCGCCAGGGCTTTATTGTCTCCTTGGACATGCGGGTGCTTTCCCGAGGACGTTGTGGTTTGTGTGCCAGTATTTCAGAGATCAGCGTTAGATATTAGGACAGTTGCTCCTCATCAGAAACTCTTGAAAACTGAATACTTGCAGCAGGGTCATCTCCTTTCTTAGGAGGCACCGCCTGGCTTTGCCTTGTCCAGCCGCGTTCGGAGTGGGAGGAAGCATCTCTCTGCCTTTCTTTACTGTTCCAACTCACAAAATAACAAAATCGAGGCAGGAAGCCTCATTTCTAGTCAAGAGTGGCTGAGCTCCTTGAAGGAGAAAAAGCCCGGATTGGGAAGCGGGGCTCAGCACATGAGCGTTGGCCGAGAGCCCCTCCGTCCCCCGATGTCATTCCCTGTGCCACGCGGGCAGGAGCCGCGGGATCAGCCTGCCCGGGTTGGTCCTGCTCTTCTTAACGCGCAGTTTTGCGTGCGGGCTTGCTTTCTGCATCGACAGCTCTGCTCCCACCTTAACCCCGTTGGCTTCTTGCCCCAGGATGGCAGCTAGCAGCGACCCAGGCGTGCGGCTGCTCCGTGTTTTCCCCAGTAAGGAGTGCAGGGGATGGGGAGAAGAGTTCCGGTTTCGTCCGATACGGGCAAATGAGCTTTCTTGTGGATGATTTAATGGCCTTCACTGTATGGACAGGTGATGCTGCTGACCTCCTCATCTTTTACTCCCTTACGGTTTAAAGGTAACAGCGGTACTCCCCTGCTCGCGTGCGAGTCCTGCATCTCTGCCACTTCTTTCTCTCCCCCTCGGAGTTCTGCGGTGCCGTGAGGTCTGAACCCTTTCAGCAGCGTTGGCCTCTGCTTGAAGAGCAGCTTGTCCCTCCCGGCCAGCCCGTAACTGCTCCAGGCATCCCAGGTCTCATCTGCCTTCTCCACGGCTACCAGGAATGTTTCTTTGGGGTTTTTCTGTTTGTTTTTTAAAGTCAGTGAGCTTCTTTCCGTTCTGTGGGGAAAAGAGCAAACCGCAGCCCTTCTTTCCCCACGGCTGTCATTCCTTCTCAGAAACTTCAGATTTACGCTAATGCTCTTAGAAATCATGTTCAGTACTGTATAACAAGGGGCACTTTAGAAATGTCTCTCCTCCTTTGATATATGTGTTTTCCCTATGGAGAAAGCTATATATAAATATATATGTACACTTTGGGATGCAGAAGATCTAATTTGTCCCAAAAAAATCAATAAATATGAAGTTTACAAGAAATCTCTTCTGTTGTTGAATAATATTAGTTATTGGTCACCATACCACAGAGAAAAATAGCAAATGGGTTTTCTGCGTAGTAGTTTTGAGAAGACTTTTCTGTCCTGTCAAGCCTGGCTCAGA